TAAAGAAACAGCACAAAAGGACCATTTAAGATCGAACCGATTTTACCTGCTGTACTATCATTTTATTGATTTCAATGATCAAAACCTCTGTACCGTCAATCTTGCCAATCTATACCGGGTATCTGAATGTACCGGACCTCTTATTTACCTCTATAATTAGACCCAGTTGTGCAAGAAATGCGATTTCTCACAGGAGTTTCTTTTAGTTTTAACTGTGCACTTTTTGTCACTCTCGCAAGAGGCCCGGTGTTATAGGGGGTATAGGAAGCGAGTGTAAATATACCTTCCATCATCCACTGTGGCTTTATTGTATTGTGAATGCGCATGCCGCTTCGTTTGATATGCCAGATACCTCAAATAACCCCCATATCTCATTGCCAGGGTCGGGATAGAGCTGGAGATAGCATCGAGAGGTTGCTAGAAATAGCTAGATTTAGAGTAAACTGGTGGTAGCTGGGTGGTGCTAGCATGGATGTAGCAGAACGTAGCTACACGGGGTTTCATTGGAGTTGGTTATTTTAATGGCCAAAGAGTGCCGGAACTAAAGTTACTTAAGATTGCAGTTGAGGGGCAGTGTAAACCACGGTGGAGTCAGGGACACAGAGCTACAGTGCAGGAGTACTGCAAAAGAACAGTGCAAGTGATACAGTCTGCAACAGTAAAACGCCGAAGGAGATAAGATTGTGGCTGCAGAGGAGGAGAGGAGCAGGAACCTGATTGTGTTTGAAAGAAGAGGAGGAAGAAGGGTTTCCTGCCCAGGTATTATTGGAAGAGGTGGGGTGAGAACTTATACCCAAGCGACAAGGGTGGGCTGGAAGCAACCAGGTACAGCTATCCGACCTATTAAGATCACCGTCCTGAGCTTAACAGCCTTTCATCAGAATCTGATGAAAACAGAGGGACTGACCCACCCTTTTTAGATACAACGAAACCCTTTATATAAATCGACTTTTCCGCATGAATTACTTCATGGTATCTTCTTATCGAGGCTACAGACCTTGCCGTACCGGATTTATTGATCGAAGTGAGTCTCTTTAGCCCTCTTCTTCTTTAGAGCTTTAGGTTAGTGATCAAACTCTTCGCTACTCGCTCTTCACTGGATCTATCAGGACATATTCACATCTTTTTAGGTCTCAACCAGCCTTAGTTTTCCTGTTTTCATCATGTAGTACGTTCTGCTACCTCCATTTTAGCACCACCCAGCTTCCATCAGTTCACTCTAAGTCTAGCTTTGTCGGCGTTTTACTGTTGCAGACCATGTATCACTTGCACTGTTCTTTTGCAGTACTCCTGCACTGTAGCTCTGTGTCCCAGACTCCACCGTGGTTTACACTGCCCCTCAACTGCAATCTTAAGTAACTTTAGTTCCGGCACTCTTTGGCCATTAAAATAACCAACTCCAATGAAACCCCGTGTAGCTACGTTCTGCTACATCCATGCTAGCACCACCCAGCTACCACCAGTTTACTCTAAATCTAGCTATTTCTAGCAACCTCTCGATGCTATCTCCAGCTCTATCCCGACCCTGGCAATGAGATATGGGGGTTATTTGAGGTATCTGGCATAACAAACGAAGCGGCATGCGCATTCACAATACAATAAAGCCACAGTGGATGATGGAAGGTATATTTACACTCGCTTCCTATACCCCCTATAATACCGGGCCTCTTGCGAGAGTGACAAAAAGTGCACAGTTAAAACTAAAAGAAACTCCTGTGAGAAATCGCATTTCTTGCACAACTGGGTCTAATTATAGAGGTAAATAAGAGGTCCGGTACATTCAGATACCCGGTATAGATTGGCAAGATTGACGGTACAGAGGTTTTGATCATTGAAATCAATAAAATGATAGTACAGCAGGTAAAATCGGTTCGATCTTAAATGGTCCTTTTGTGCTGTTTCTTTATGTGGAATTTGATAACGCTGTATTGTAATTAGTTATGAAACTCTAATATTGTGTGGTTAACCTTTTTCAGGTTCAGCCCTTTCCGCTAAGCTATTCCTAATTAATAAAATATGTCGAGATTTACTGAACTCCAACTTCAAATATTGATGATTTTAGTATTCCCCAATCTAAAAATCTTCGAAGTTTTTCTGCAAAGCATTTGTATCCACGTTTCATGCAATTCGATCACTTTTGGCGGAATAATATATTTTCAAATTTTCAAACTTTTTTTTAAGTCTCGAAAAAAAATTTTAAGTGAACAATTTTTGAAGTTTTTCTAAAAACTACATTTCTCCGTGTTTCAAACGATTTTAATCATTTTGAGCCAATAAAAAATTTTCACTTTTTTTGGTAATTAGCTAATTGGTAATTATCCAATTAGCTGATTATCCAACGTAAAAAGTTTTCTAACAAAAGTTTTTCTCTTTGATGAGATGAACATCCTCGATTAATTTGCAACCTTCTACGACGTTCACAACTAAAGATATTTGGCAAACCAGAAAGGTGGTAAGAAGGTGGTAAAAAGTGGTAAAAAGAGGTGTTTCCGTGAGATACAAAATTGGTGACAAGTCTAATTATGTTCGTAGGGGTCCTAACTACCATATTCCGTTGAGAAATCCTTGTGAACATTCAAATCCAACGGAATGCCACTTTTCCCCTTACTATAATGCATGTTCACAAATATGATAGGCTGGTGTGGTGCATGGTGTTAAGGGTTAATTTCCATTGATTATTGATTAAAAATTACTATCTTTTAAGCATACTATTGGATACGTGAGGGCACTGCGAATAGAATTACTCGCCCAATCCGGGTTTTGACTCAGCGGGTAATTACTCCTACCCTTTTTAACTGCGGCAGTGAAATCCCGGCCGTAGGCCGGGTTACACTAGTAATAGTAATATAATCAACTTAATAACACCAGAATGTGTGTGTGTCTGTGTGTCTGTGTGTGTGTGTGTGTGTAATTTCCGAACGGTTATACAAAAAAAACGGTAATAGTTACGGGACTGGTTTTTTCGGTATAGTGCTGACAAAACTCTGACGAAGCCTATAAGCAAATTTTATAAAAATCGGCCGGTGGTAAGTGGTTTAATTGATAATTTTGTTCCAGAAATGCGACATAAATGGATGGGAGAGAGAACGAGGAGGATAATATGTACCGTAATTAGTTTAGCCCCACGTAATACTATAAGCTTAGAGCTCACTCTTGCGGCCGCTTTGTTTCAACTGTAGGGAGATTTCATACTTTCATAAGACAGCGTTATGCGTGATATCAAATATATAATGCGGTTGTATACTTTTACATTGCAACTGTGACAGTAAAGTCCCGGCCGAAGGCACGGGTTACACTAGTAGTAATATAATAGTAATAATATAAGTAGTTTAGAAGGTGCTTGGCCGGATATCATAACAATTATTTCGGCTCATCGTGATAGCATGATCAGGATAGCATGAAACGTAGAGAAAAGTGTTATCTAGGGAAAAAAAGTCAAGGGGGGGAGGGGGGGGGTCAGGCTATGATTACGTAATATTGCTGTCAGGGGGGGGGGGGGGGGGGGTTGGGTCTAGATTACGGTTGATTACGTAAGGGGGGAGGGGGGTAAAACTTGCTAAAATATTGATTACGTAATATGTGAACGACCCCATATTATCAAGTGCTCCCTCGATCTAATTTGTACGGCTTCGCATGCACTCTCTTTTTTATGTAGTACATAATATACTAGACTAGAAACCCGCCGCTAGTCGAAAGCTTTGTTCGAGGAAATTTTAAGCATCAGTTATGTTTTAATTTCTCTTCATCATATAGCCCCAAAACAATACTTTTTACCGCATCAAAAAATTTCAATCACAACCAAAGTTATAAATATATATAGGTATATAGCGTCATGAGGGTAAATGTGAGCTAGTTGTGAAATTCTGACGTAGCATACAGCATAACACCGCGCGTTGAAATCCGCTGTAGTCGAAAATTTTATTAAAGGACACTATAAGGGAGCGAATTTATCGTTCGAATTTATCGGTCATCGCTAGTCAATGGTCAAACAATCCAACAAATATGCTTTAGTTCCCGAACCCTGCTTCACTGAAAATATATGAATTACACATTTGTATCATTTCGGTAAATGTCAGGTCCCTCATCGTCTCATTTGATAGATCTGTTCAAATTGAAGTTTTTACGTATGAAAGAATTGTGATAAATAAAAAAGGAAATTTGTGCTGAATGAAATTGGTAAAATGACATAATCTATCAAATGACTTTAGATCCTAAATCAAATAGGTTAATAAATTGATATTTACGTAGGTTGACAAAACGTTAATTCAAAATTATTATCATTATATGAAATTATTATATGAAAATTGATTGCTATGAAAATAAGTAATAGCTAGTTATGAAGACAATCCTTGAACACGGGATTCTTTGCAATATTGCCCCGACTTGACAGCACCAAGATATCCTTAGGATCGTGTGTTCTTGACAAAGCTTTGTTCGAGGAAATTTTAAAAATCAGTTATGTTTTAATTTCTCTTCATCATATAGCTCTGTTATACTGTAGACATAATGGAATTTATCTAACAATGGCGACAGCGTTGTTAGTATTCGGATTCCCAAAACGATACTTTTTACCGCATCAAAAAATACCAATCACAACCAAAGTTATGAATATAAGTCATAGCGTGAGCGTAAATGTGAGCTAGTTTTGAAATTATGACGTAGCATACAGCATAAGAACGCGCGTAGTTAAGATGTTTTTGCTCGCGCACGTGCATTTTAACGTTGCTACGCAACAGCGCAGTAAACCTTTGCTAAAATAACGACATTATTCTAACGGTTATTTTACCTCACTTCCGACTTTAATTATACTACAACCCTGCTAAAAATGGCGAGGTTTCAACTCCATTTGCGAGCTGGGTTTGATTTCACCAGAGGGTCATTTTGAGGTCGATTTTCGGTGTTTTTTCTTCTATGTCCCCGTTGCCGGGGAAATTTCGTCAAGTTTAAATTATAGTATAGATAGATAAGATTAAAAACACGAGAAAAACCGTTATTACTAATACTTTCGAATTATTATAGAATGGTTAACAAACGATCAATATTTAACATTTAAAACTGCATTGAAAGCTTTAGACTGTCCCATTATTAAATTCCAAATGATGGGGATCCCAAACAATATACAATATTCAAGTTACGGTATTTTCGGTTTTGTCGCAATGTTTAATATATACTGAGTATTTACTAAATGTTATCACATAACGCATGCTACATATAAAGGTTTCTTCCATTATTCATTATTGGGTAAATGCGAATCTCAGTTTCAATATCACAGTCGACTTAAACGATCCTAACCACCGTAAAATCTTTGAAATTAAACTTATTGGATTTAAAAGTTGGTTAGGGAGATAATTTACTGATTAAAAATTTCTCTGATTATTATCTTTACCGACAAAAAAGCGTTCCGATCATTCACTTACTACGTAAGCCACCCTAGGAGAGGCTAGATGTATTACTTGTCTTACGGAGGGGGAAGGGTCTGAAATGGCCCATAAATGGATTACGTAACTTGTGAACGATCCTTAACGTTTGATAACTGATGCCCAATAAATATTCCGTGCACTACAAAAGTAATAAAAAGTCACATATCATCTTGAATGGGGCAGGAACCGAGAGTGCCCATTTTCCCACGGTTTGTCACATTTTGTCAATCTTGTCGTATATTGTCATATATTGTCGTATATTGTCATATATTGTCATATATTGTCAAATCTTGTCATATATTGTCATATTATATTGTCGTATATTGTAAAATCTTGTCGTTTATTGTCGAATCTTGTTACATCTTGTCATGTATTGTCGTATATTGTCGTATATTGTCGTATTATATTGTCAAATCTTGTCACATTTTGTCGTGAAATTGGGCACTTTCGGTTCCTGCCCTGAATCTGACATAGTGTTTTTTAAATTAAAAAATAGTACAGACAACAGAGTCACATGTTCTGAGTCAGCTGACGTTTAGCAGTCAACACATAGTCACACTCTGCCGATACGGCTACTTTCGTCTGTGTGAAGGTGGGGACCAAAATTTACCACTTTGTGTGTGCGGGAGACCACAATTTACCACTTTAAAATGCTCCTCTGGTTAGGGAAGACTGGGCTTGTTAAAAATCCGGAGTTGCCTACAGAAACCCTGAAATGGGACAAACCACTGGTTATTTTCCACGTAATATAATCGACGGTAACAGTGCAGCAACAGCGATTTAATAGGATTACAACGGAATTTATTACTGCAAGCTAATTATTTATTCGTTGTCGATCAAAATAATCTGTATCGCAAATAATGTAAAAGTAGAACTTACCGCTAGTAATAGAGAGGAGATGACGAAACATGGTCTTGTAAAGGTCGTAAACAAAGAAAGCAGTAATGTACCAAAATACCAGAGATCCCAGCAGTCTTCCGGGCGACTGATGTATTTGAGAGAAACTATTTCCCTCTTTGAATTCTCCTGAAATAATTATGTAAAATAAAAGATTTGCAATGTGAGATGTCAAGCAGTCAAGTGCACGGTTCTTGATGAAGAACGAAGACTTCATATTCATGAAGTTTTAAATGAACTATCGTCGCATTATCATCGCATTATCAAAAAGTCTCAGTATCTGAACAGTTAATCATTAAAACATAAGTCTAAGAGTAAATTACCGTTTTCTTTAAATCTGGTTATCATATCCTCTTTTTCCTGATACCGGTCGTACAGCCATGTCTGAAGCTCCAACTCTTCTGAAAAATATCAGTGTAAAATTCAGCTCTGAGATTCTCTAAGTTATGTGTGAAAAACTTGTGAACCTGGAACAGACCAGGAAACTGACAGTACCATTAACTCTACCTTAACTCTATTCCTGGGTCGTAATCTGTCTTTTTGACCTCAATTACCTACTAATGGTCCTATTTTCTTAAACCTGCTATAATTCTGGTATCTAGTTCCTTTCAGCTTGCTATTGTAGTATCTACTACGACTGGTAGTATCAACATGGATCCGATCTTGGTGACCCAGCTGCAGATAGCCTGGGGCACACTTTCCCTGCCTCTCGGTCTGGTGAGTAACGTGTTCGTCTTGTACGCAACAATTGCTCACAACGCCATCAGGTTGGATAAAGTCTCAGTTTGGATAATCAACAATTTAGCGGTTGTTGACATTGTGAACAGCTTGATTGTACTGCTCCCCAATCTACTGACTCAGTATTATAATGGTAGGTGGATGTTTGGGAGAGTCTCATGCTATGTTTACTCCTGTTTCCGGCTATCATTCTTCGCAGCCAACATATTCCTCATCATGGTCATGTCCCTTAATAAACTGATGAGATGTCTCTTCCCGCTCAGAAACTTGGACTCTAGTAGACTTCAGAGAATTGTTATTACGTTTGTGACCGTTTTTATTGGCCTAACACCTTCTGCGTGGAATGTATATGGCTTTATCGACGGTTTTTACTGGATAGACACCATAAACCACTTTGTTGGTTCCAGAAACGTCTGCAAAGCTATAATCTTGCCAGAAAAATTTGGAAAACTGAGAAAAGACATCATATTCATGCTGGCATTTACCCTGGATATCATACCATGTGTTGGACTAGTCATCATCAACTCAATCCTTATCATCTACGCCATCAAAAAGACAAACACAACAGTGAACAAACGCAACCTTATAATCGTGATAACGGTCACAGCAAGCATGCTCTTGTTCTTTGTCCCAGTATTCGTCACCATGGTCATTCCTCGTAAGATCAGCTGGGATATGTACGAGCTAGCCTGGTCAGTTACCTTCTCCTCACTGTGGAGCAACCCTGTTATCTACCTGGCAGTTAACCCTACCTTCAGGGAGTTCACCACCAACATGGTGTGCTTCTGGAGACCCAGGAGGGTCACACGAGAGTCACGTGTCTCTGTGTCACGTGTCTCAGTGTGCAATGTTGTGAGAAGTCAGATACGAGCTCAGAGTGTGGTAAATCTGTTTCAGAAGTCTTCAAGAGTGGGAGAGGACGGAGATACGGAGTTTACGGAGACAAGTTGATAGAATGTGTGGGTATAGACAGTTGAAGTGGACACTGTGCTTGCTGAGCTGACGCTGGTAAAAGTGCTATATGGACTATTCTAAAAGTTATGCTATTGATATTGTAGACTTTCTTAATAAAAAACTAGCAATTGTGTTTACTTATTCAGTGTTTTAATTGCTCCTAATTTCCAATACAGCTGGGCCGATAAAACATAATTCTACAAAAGAAATTGATGATACATTTTGGAAACATAAAATTATACGCGAAGAATTTTGTAACTCAATTTGTTCTGATAAAAAGATATGAGTCTCCCTGGACCCTGGCTGAAGCACAAACCTTTGGGAAGGTCGCACATCTTATAAGTCCTGAAATGAGCATACACCTCGGTGTCCAAATAGGATCCCATTAGTATATCTGTCATGCACAAATCTCTGGGTCCCTTGTAGAAGAGTGTCACGTCCACTATATCTTCTACTTGCTCTGGTATTGCTTTAACTTCTCCTCTGAACGCTCTGAAAAGATGTGAATTCTCAGGGATGGTAAAATAAAAACGGGAAAAAACTAAAAGATTTTAAACCAACCAACTCGCTGATCTGAGGATCACAAAATAGCAGATAAAATGAAACTAACTGAGTAATGGCAATGAAGGCGGTAGTTCTTGGAAGTACACAGTTATAAAGGACTGGCAGGTTGTTGCGAGCTGCCCAGTTACGGGCCCGCTCCCCTCGGTTCTTTAGGTAGCCCCCCTCCGGGAAAAATATCAACCATTTGAGCCCTGAGATTTTACAACATCAACTACATTTCTTTTTTAACCTGTGAGTGTTAAAAAGTGGTAAAATTTGAACTGACTTAAATAAAATGATATCCACAGAATCAAAGTTACTGAACATTCTCTGCACACGGTTGTTAGTTGTATTTAAAGTAATATTATTAGTTGAATCTAAAGTAGCATAAAGTAAGATAAAGTAAGTAAAATTACAAAATCCAGTTCAAAAAAGTGTTTGCCCACCTCTGTCGAAGTAAGTAGTGCTAAAATGCTGTTTAAGACGCTTGACAACGACTTCTTTATTTCCCTCTCTTGAAAAGAAATCATTGTGCCACTGAGAGGGAACACCTGGTAAAAGTAAGCACATTAATCAATTAATTAATTAATCAATAAAACAATAATTTCAGAAATTGATATATTTTATAACGCCAATACAAAGATATGGCGTGTAGCCAGATAAGTGACTCACCAAGTCACCAAATGACTGAAGTATAGTTACTATTATATAGTAGTCTATACTGTATAGTAGTCTGATAAATGACTTACCAAATGGGGTCCACTTAAACATCTCGTCTACAATCCACGTTGTGGTGTGAGCTAAACCAAAGTAGGCTCCTATACACATCATCATAGGAACATCTCCACTATCCTGTAACGTTTTTAAATTTATAAATACAATTCCATAAATATTCCTTAAAGATATCTGCTAGTAGTGTTTAAGAGTCTATCAGCATATAAAAACATCACAGTTATACTTTCAACAGATACACTTTTACTCTGGTTTGTGAACTGAAATATTGCCCTAACTTGGAATCATTCAAAGTTCGTCATATTACATATGTTGGGTATGTCGTTATCTCAAAATGTTAGTTAAAAAACAAGCGTGATATGTGTGATAATCACGCGACTATCATGTGTCAACTGACCTGGTGATTCACCATCATCATGGCACGCTTTCTGGTTATGGGCTCTAAATCTGATAACGTATCACTATATACTGAAATCAGATAATGTGTTATCAATTAATATCAATTAAATCAATTAACTCGTGTGGAAGGTAACAAGTGTACTGCACTTTCCAGATACATTAATATAAGGTGAATTTCATGTAAGAAAGTAGTAGTAGTTGTAGTAAGTAGTAGTAGTAGTACTTAGTTGTGAAGGTGATATCTTATTACACAGATGTAGCAAACTTCAAATCCTAAAAAGGAACTGTTTACTTACTTTTTAATTTGGGAAATAGTGTGAATACTGGTATGAAGGTTTCTCCCGCCTTGGAATGTAGGAAACACTCAATCGTAACATATAATGTAGGAGATATAAACCTGCAAGGAAAATAGCGATACAATAGAGTGGATGACTTTTTAACTGAGAACAGTACAAGTTTACCAACTTGTGCTGGTCGTGACTTCATGACCACCAGCAATATTTTCAAGGAACCCAGGGAAAAATTAAGTCGGGACCAAATAAATTTGAACGATAATGATAATATTTAAAAGTGTGAAAATGAGCGAAACTCACGAGGGTGCACTTACTTTAGAGGGTAGATAGGTATTAATGTGAGAGTGTGAAGGATACTGGCGAAGAAGATGTTGAACACGAAGAAAATGGCTCTGAGCCAGAAAAGAGGGGCGAGGAGTACTCGTAAAAGGGACATGTTGCTAAAGAGGGGGTTTTCTCGGGTTAGTAAATGCAAACTTTATCAATACTAAATGATGAATTTTCCCAATTTTTAATCGTTTTTAGAAAACTTTTGTGTATCAGGGAGCTGATTTATAACAAATAAATATGCAACAGAAAAACAAATCTTTGATATAATGACTCAAAAAGTGTACGTTAAAAGAAGAAAATATTCTGTTTGATAGACAGTGAAACCATACTTAAAATAACCGTGATACAACGACAGAGGATATCGTTTACAGCCAAGACTCAAGGAATTGGCTTGATAGCAAGCACAAGTGTGGGTCATTTCCTTGAAGTTCTATACCAACCAAGGTTAATATCTAAACTTCAAGTTTAGATAAGAAAGTTCGGATAAGAAGGTACAGAGAAAACAGGGAAACGAAGGAAAGGCCTCGAACGTTGTAGTGTGTAACAGGCACACAGACCTTCGATACGGGGAATCTTTTGCAATAAATGTCAAATAGATGTCCAAATTAGCCTCAAGACCCAGGTTCTTTCATGACAATTCAGCTCTATATTATATAGAGCTATATAGATATATGGGTCGTTAAATAGAAGCAAATTGTCCGAAAATTGCTCAAACCAAACGCTTTAAAGACGGCTTACATGGAAATATTGATATTTCTCAGAAGTTGATGTCAAATGCCAGCAGGAAGATATAATAAAATATGCCAGAATGTTTCGCACGTTCAATAACACCCTACGCGCGTGGGGTGGACTCCTGGGGTGGACTTTTATTCAGCGCGTATTTTGTAGCCTGTTCAACTTGACGTTTTGAATCGTTACTATCTCAATGTCACAGATACATAGAATGTGAGGTGATCATCTTAAAGAGAAACGTCTCAGCTTTCACCTGGTGTAAAGTTTATCTTTGTTCTCAAAATATAGCTCGCTCAGTGTGCAACAGAAGTTGACATTACAATAACCACGTCCGCGACCGGTCGTCAGATACCGGAGTCTTGCACAAAATTGGGTCCCTAAATTAAAATTTTATGACACAGTTACGATGAACTAGTGTCTAGGGAAACATTTGGTGAAAGTTTCAACTCTCTACTATAAAAATAGCGATAGTTATTGAAGATAAACCGTGAGAAACTCCCTCTTGTCGAGATCAACGCTCTAGGAACCTCCCTTCTGTACCACGTGACAACGATTAGAGCGTCACGTGGCCGTCACGTGACACAAGTGCGCGCGTTGGCTCGAACATTCTCGTGGGAAATCCTGATTGCCTGATCGATCTGGTGGGAAATCCTGATTGCTACGGAAAGGGCTGACAACCACTGTTATTTTCGTTCCTCAATTTTCCAGTTCACTTGCTCAGTGCTGTCAGTTGTTTTTTGTTTGCCCTGCTAAATAAATTTCACTCCGTCATAATCCCCTACTCCCCTATCCAATGAACTGTTTCTGTTACAGCTGCCATTCTGTTGACTTGACCCTAACTTAGTCTTATCATTGTCACTTGATAACTTTATCCGTGTGCACTTTCTCGAAACTCACTTATCTTTGCCTTAACAGACTTACTGGTCACTGCACTAGGCCCTCCTTTAAATGCAAATATCATATGAGCAGCCGATCGATTTATTGCTTGAACTGTGCATCCTTTTTTTTAAATACATAAGGTCAATTTTTCTATCGTGAAACTTAGTCACTGAAAGTGAAGACAACGCAATCTGGCTGTGCCGGTTCCCCTCTGCCTAGATCACTTAGAATATCCATAGTTAGCAATACTTTAATCGTTTAATGCAGCGATATAGCCAGTTATTAATGCCACATTGTAGATTTTAGCCTGTTCCAATCATCCTTATATCGAGTTAATGAAATTTATGAAATTGCCTACCGTTCAAATCGCTCTCTGTTGTTAGCACCACACTGATTAACTACAATGTTCCAATTTTTTAGAATTATGTCCGACATAATTCTAATTTTTGCTGTTACAGCAGATAGTTATGGTGAAATGGCACGCAGGAATAAGTCATCCCTGTCCTCCAAAAAGCACATGAAAAGGTACTTGGTAAGCCATGTCTTTTCCAATATCAAATCCAATGTATCACAATCTGTGGACTTTTTACTCAAAAACTAGATTGATTAATTGATAATTCATTGCTGATTGTTCACGCGCCCTGTATGGAAGTATAAAAATGGTAATCCGCATACTCCAGGAAGAATTGAAGCAATCTCAAGAGAAAAGAAGGGAATCTGGATCCTTCGTCGGATCGTCACAGAGCTTAGAGGGGAGCTCTACGCTTCACTGGCCATGCAAAGCAGGGAAAGTGACGGAGGCGGAGGCACTGCTGGCTGCTGGAGCGGACATTAACAAGCTGGACAGAGCGCAGTTGAACCCTTTCATGGACGCGATCAACTCAGGTAAATCATTTGACCGCCTTAACAATATGGGTTTATCTAACATTGGTAATAGTAGCAAGAGGTTTTAGTCATGCGTTTGATTACAGCACAGTGTGAAACCCTGAAGCATACGTCGAGCTCTAAACTCTGTTTTGTCTGATAATCAATTATTTGAATATTGAAGGATTAAATTTGGTAACTTGATGATCACATAATTAACAGGACAGGTCGACTGTGCTAGATGGCTGCTGAGGCAAGACGGTTGAAAGCTCCAGCCCGAGATATGGTCGTTTTGTAGGGAGAGGGGGGCTAGAGTCAGTGCTAACAGCTTAACAGAAGGTAAAATCCTGAACTTTTGTTCATTGATTCTTTGAATCAATGAACAGATTCAAAGAATCAATGAACAATCGTTCAGATGTAAAAATTATTTATTCACTATTTTGCATTACATTTAGTTACAGGACTGACATGCGACATCCGTCGTTGACCTTTGTCTTTATTTCAGCAAGGTACGGAGAGCGATCCATGGCTGTCCCGATAGACCCACTCAGACTCCTGCCGGAAGATACTCCTCCGGTTGATCCAGATGAGACAGTTCTAGCAGATGATCAGTTACAGACTGAAGAACATATCCCACAGATCAATGCGTCAACATCTGCAAATGAAGGTACTTCAATCTGCTCTTCTTGTATGTGTCTTTGTGCCTGCGTCTGTGATTGTACTGAAGTGTACTCTGTGTGTTTGTGCCTGTGTCTGTCTTTGTATCGAGTGTGTGTCTCTGATTGTACTGCGTGTGTCTGTAATTGTAATGTAGTGTACTGAAGTGAACTATGTGTGTTTATGTGTGTGTGTGTGTGTGTGTATGTGTCTGTGTGTGTATGTGTCTGTGTGTGTTTGTGGGTGTGTTTGTGGGTGTGTGTGTATGTCTGTGTGTATCTGTGTGTATCTGTGTCTGTCTGTGTGTCCGTCTGTGTCTGTGTGTGTCTGTGTTTATGCTGTGTCTGTGTGTCTATGTCTGTATGTGTTTGTGGGTGTGTGTATCTGTCTGTCTGTCTGTCTGTCTGTCTGTCTGTGTGTGTGTGTGTGTGTGTTTGTCTGTGTGTGTGTGTGTGTGTGTGTGTGTGTGTGTGTGTGCGTGTGTGTGTGTGTGTGTGTGTGTGTGTGTGTGTGTGTGTGTGTGTGTGTGTGTGTGTGTGTGTGTGTGTGTGTGTGTGTGTGTGTGTTCTTTCATAGAAGTTGTTATTTCCAAGATACGAAGTTCGAAAAGCTTGCATTTAGTAATAGACGAATTTTGCAGCTGATATCAGAATCGAAATGATGATGGTACTACACGAGATGCTCATGGAAAAGGTATCAGTTTGCTTTCCTCCTCCCACGAGCAGTACAAAGTGTGGGTTCAACTTTAATCTGATAGAAGATATCTATGCGGAACCCAAGCCCGGCTATGTCTGTACATAATAACGAAAGAAAGCGGTAAGTTTTTAATCATGTAAATGTTCGGCCGAACGTTTGCTTTCATTTTAGACTAGTGACGAAAATCAACAATCGTTTGCCAGTTTGGTTAGTAAAATCGACAAAAAATAGTCCATTCCCCAAGGCCATGATATTCGAATTCTGCCCGTTGAAATCGGCCACTCTGATTTTTATCATTGAACTTTGCATTGATGACATGTTCATTCTCTACAGGTTATGCTGCGAGGGCGTTTAGCTCGATAGATGTTGAAAATGCCCACAGCATTATAAATCATTTGGACCGCCGAGGGGTCCAAAACTCCTCAATCGAAGAGCTTAGTAGACATGTCAGCTACCTACAAAGACTTCAAATTCTCAGGAAAACCTCTCTAGGACGGTAATACATTAACTTGTTTAGTTAATAAATTTAATAAGTAGATTTTGAGTGATGATTACTCAATACTGATATCGAGGTACCATAAAAAGGGTATATAAACTTATCACTTATGCTTATATGCTTATACTCTTATACTATCAATGAATATCAAATCGCCTTCTCTAGTTATCAAACCCAACATAAATTAAATCTCTGCCTACAAGGACTATTCGATATTTACAACAGACCGAGTGAATGTCTCAATCTTTTCAGGAAGCTTTATACTCCGACATCCACAATTTACCACGCCCCTGAGATCGACAAAGGTCTTTCTGATAGATTGACTTCCAGCCAATTCGATCTATCGAAGCCGAGTGGGAAGAACAAAGAACTGAAACCCATGGTCGCAACGATGCTCCTCGCGGACAAGGGAGAGTTAGGGCCATCGGTGGTCACAAGACTGCAGAATATTTATTTTTTAAGCGTTGAGGTTGTCACGAAAGCGTACTGTAACGGGACTGTATCAGATTTGAGTGATTTGATTTTGTGATTCGCAGTTCACGTGATTTTATTGTGATCTTAGACTGTAAAAACTATAAAGGTTCAAGTTGAACTATCGTCGCCATGGTTATTTATTTTGGAACTGTTCACGTTGAAATTGCTTCGTTAATCAGCAGTCTTCCTTGTATATTGTTCCTTGTATTGGTTACCTTCTACTGTGTAATGCAGCTACGATCAACGATACTTCGCTAGTACATTCATAGTAACTGCACTGAGAAGAGTAAAAAATTTGAGCTTTGACGGAA